TTATACCAATTGCATTATGGTAGGAGGATGATTCAAAAAAAATTCATACCAGAATGCTAACTATGTGAGGGTGGAGATATTTAAGAGAATATTCTTCATTTTTCTATCTTATCTTTCTGTAGATTTTGTAAATGAAAATCTTGCTTTGTAAAAAAAAAAAAATCAGTATTTGCCATGAATGTAACTAAAAAGTTGGATAATTGAGTAAAAAAAGTGAATGGAGAATATAAAAAATCCATCTACACATGGATGAGGAAAGCCCATTCTGTTCCATAAAGGATGATCTAATATTGAGAGTACACATGGCTTATAATATCAGGTGCATTGCAGATGAGAAATACGTAGGATCTGATCCTCCGTTCTGTGAGTTCTGGGGCCTCTGCGCTATGGAGCACTTTCTTTGTCTTTCCACTGCCCTCCACTTTATCCTAAGTACGTTTCTCTAATACTGATCTGACAGATCTCTGAGTATGTTTCAGCAAGAGACCTATAAATTCTGCCCCTCCCATTCTACTGTTCCTCCCGATAACTCCTAGAGGGAAAGTGCCGGATCAGCCATGAGGCAAACATTTCGAACTGCTTTTCCTCCTTCTTTCTAGATATTACTACTCTACATACAGCCTTTAAAATCATTGCCTCTAATTTATACCCGAGAGAGTCCTCTTACCCTGGCATGCCGGAGGGGCAGCGCTCCAGTGTCCAGTAGCCAAGCACTGTAGTGTCCTCGCTCCTACCAGGAGCGAGCCTTCGTCACAGGTGAAGGCACAGACTGACCCGTAGCTAAAGGCCCCGAAGGGGTGGGAGCAATTCATCTGGGCCTTGCTTGGCATGGGGAGGTCGTGGCACTGCAAAGCTAAAGGATGAAGAAGGCAGGATGAGTGAGCGGCAATGCCTAAGCATTTGTTGGATTTGACACATTGATCTTTTCTAGGGCCCAGAACAAGGCTACCTCAGTTGAACTTGCTTATCTTAAAATGAAAAATGTATCATTCAATGGCACCCAGAGGATTTTATAAGGAATATATTAAACCATTAATGAGTGTTTTGACAATCTGTATCAATAATTTTTAAATTATCACACTTTTGAACCCATCAATCTCTGCTAAGTATAATAAAGATGGAGACCAAAAAACAATTCAGAGATTTTTATCAAGATATTATTTGTAAAAGCAAAATATTGAAAGCAAGCATAAATGCCACTAATCTGAGGCTGCAAATAAATTATAGTGATCTCTGCAAAGAATATTAATGGTCTCTGAAAATTATATATCTCACTTTGGAAAGGTAACCTCTGCATGTATGATGTTCAATAAAAAAGCAGAATAAGCATAATGCACATAATCAATTGCACCATGATCTTAATCAAGTAAATAGGTGCTCATATATGCAGATGATATTCTTTCTCTCAATTGAGATAGAAAAAAATTAGTGAATATTTATTAAATTAAATGTATTATAATAAAAGACACGTTGCCACTACTCCCTCTCAAAATACTCCCTTTTGCTTCAAAAATGCTTATTCCATTGTCCTTGACACTTTCTCAAGCAGTTCTGGTTGTCTCCTTGCAGTGTCTTTAGTTATGCTGCTGTGGCTGCCTTGATGTACTGAATGATCCAAAATGTTGACCTTTCATGCTCATTTTGACTTTGGGGAAGAGCCTAGAGTCACACAGAGCCAGATCTGATGAACAAGGTGGATGAGGATGCACCATGCTGTGTTCACAAACCTGCCCTGCCACTGGATGGCACTCGGTGGCAGCATTCACAGTATTTTTTTAAAAATCGTATTTCATAAAGACACTCATGAAAGAGAACTTCCAAATTGCTTTAGAAAATGGCAAGGAGTGAGTTTGAAGGGGAAGCAAGAGTCAGAATTCCCTTCCTGCCTCTGGCTGACTTCTGTTCTGTTGTAGGCAGAGCACATTTGTTCTCCATTCACCTGTAGGTTCTCACTCAGAGGGCTCGCACATCTTAAATGCTGAGTGTGATGCTGCTGTGAGCCCGGGTGCACAAATATCACATCCAAACTCCTTTGCAAACCACTGCTTCATTTTAAAATCAGAGTAGATACAGACAGGGGGACCCATCAACTGTGGACGGGTCTCAGTAAATGGCAACATGAAATGCCAATATTATACGAGACTCTGTGGGGTACAGTCTGTAAATAAACAGTCCTAGTGAATTCCCTGTGCTGTAGTCCTTGTGTAAGAGCAAAACATTGAAAACACAAAGTATTGAAAGAAAATCATTTTGTCAAATCAGTCACAGAAATATGACTTGTAAAGTCATCATTTCCTTAATATATATCTCTATCTATCTATCTATCTATCTATCTATCTATCTATCTATCTATACTCATATATATCCCTATATATAGATATATATCTGATAGACATTGTATAGTTGCTTTTATGTGCTAATTCACCATAACTAGTGAGCTAGGAAAGCAAGGCAGATGACAGTGTTGCCCATTTTACAGAAGATTTGGAGCCTCAGGAAGTCCAGAAGCTTGGTGATCAGAATGACAGGCCTGGACAAAATGCCCTGTGCATTCCTCTTCCCCATCCCATGCAGTTTCTCCTGCATCATTCCTTTCCTCTACCAATCCCCTCCTGTCAATCCAAAGACCCTATTGGCTAGCCTGTAATGAATATGTTGTGCCTGGGACTGGCTTTGCTCACCAGTATGACCCTAGTGCTGATCTCAAAGAGCCTGGCTAGAGTAGCTTCTCAGCAGATGTCTCCTGGATAAGCCTGTGACAGTGTTAAACACAGCTGGTGGTGCCCTGAGTGCCTGAAGGCACAGAAAAAGTATGTCAGTGTCACAGTACCTTGGCAGATTGGGGCTGGTGCTGTCCACTGACCCAAATCACCACACTGAAGGACATCAGCTCCTTGCAACACGAAGCCCTCTGCACAATGGAAGCTGCAGTTGGTGTTGTACTGAAATGCGGCTGATGATGGTGAGCAATCCATGCCTCCGTGGACCGGGATCTCCAATGGGTCACATGTGGTAGCTGAAGGGAAAAAATTATTGGAAGCTGAAACATGGAAGGAAGGGTCCACTTCTCCTTCAGAAGAGACTCCTGAAGATGCTGTGTTTCCTACCCACATTGTCAATAGGTTCACAACCTCAAATCCTCCCTTTCCAAAAGGAAATCTGCCTTCTGTATGCCCACTGTCTGGCTCACTCTCAGCCACCCTGATCTCAGTTCAGACCCCCCTTCTTTAGAATGCCTTGCTGCCACTCTGATCAGAGGCAGGAGCTGCTCTAATGCGCTTCCCCAACCCCTGCCCTTGTGCTTTTCACACTAGTACCCCACAGTGTCCTTAGGGCTGTAGTTGATCATTCAGTCATATCCCAGAGCCTGGCTTTTGATATAGGGTACATCAAAAGTGTCCCTTAAATAAGAATTTGCATATGTATTGGATCTGGAAAGAATAGGTACAGAAAAAGGCTGTCTTTATAAGGAAAAAGCTGAAATTGCATAGCTTATTGTTTACTGCTACCTAGAACTGTAAAAGGTCTATATGATATTAAAGGTCTATATGTCATGAGCAGAGGATGTCATCCAAATCATAATGCAATTGCCAGGCGATTACAGCCCAAGTGAGTTCCTGATAGCAGTCACACTCTGGGTGACCTAGGTTCTGAAAAAATGCTGTTTCCCTGTGCTTTCCTAGGAGGCCTTTCAGGTCAGAGCCATTTCTGGGGTTTTGGCCTCTGGTTTAATAGAATCGAGGCATTTAAAGAACAAAGATACCCTAGTGCATCTCTATTGTTTTACAGACGAAGCCAAGGGTGTGAGACAATCAGAAAATTCAGTTCTGTGATATAGGTAACGGCTTAGGATTGCATTACACGCTCTTCTTTAAGAAACACTTTTCTTTGCTCCTCTGCCAAAGGCTACCCCCAGAGTCTGTGACTGGGAATCTCTGTCTGTCTTAATAGGCACTGCTCTAACTCCCTCTCAAACTTAAGGCGTTGTCCTGCAGCTTGGATATGCTGAAGAAAAGAGTCAGAAAGTAAACTGCACCAAGTGCCAGCTCTGTGCTAGCATTCTGTACATGCTGTTTCACTGCATTCTTTTTGTATACTTAATCCGCACAATGCACCTTGTAATTTTTATCCCCCTTTCACAGATGAGTAATTTCCTGGCTCTAGTTTCCAGAGCCTAGCAAAGGCCGCCCTGACATTAAGAGCCCTTGGTCTTTCTGCTGTGCCATGACTCCTTTATGGGTGCCCTGGGAGCTGCTAAAGAGAATTCCTACCTTCACAGGCTGGCAAGGGTGCGGTCCACTGACCAGAGCCAACACAGCGGAGTGTGTCCAAGCCCTTCACTTGGTAGCCAGGTTGGCACCTAAATTTGCAGCTGGAGCCATATGCAAAGGGGGCGAGTGGATGTACACAGTCCATGGTTCCACTGTGAGGGGCTTCCAGGCGCTGACACTGCACAGCTTCAAAGAGAAATCAAGGACAAGGGAAGAGAAAAACACTGAGGATGAGGAAAAACCACACCACAGATGAAGAGCAGTGGTAGACTGCCTGTGTAAGCAGATGTGGGTCTCAGAAGGCCCCAAGTGTCCAGACAAGGAGGACTGTCCTCTGCATGACTCAAATCTCCTCGGAACATAGCTCGATTTTCCCCCCTTCATTCCCTCTTTCTATCCCTCTTTTCTTTTATTGCTGATGTTGGGGATTGAACCAGGGCCTGTGCACTGAACTATATCTCTAGCCGTTAAAAATATTTTTAAAAGCTCTTCTGATACAAGGTCTTGCTAAATTGCCTCATCCTCCTGGAGTGCTAGGATTACAGGCATGCACTACTACAGCAGGCTCCCAAGCCCTCTTCTTAAAACCCTGTATTTCTTAGACCTTTATAAACCTGTCCTATAGGTCATCTACTGTCTACTTACAGATGTGGATGCTACCCTCTTCTCTCACATGTGGAATCTCAGTGAGGCCCTTGTGAAACTGTGGGTTGAGTTTGGGGGACTAGAACAATTCTCATTTTACTCACAGTAAAATAAGCCTCTTGTTTTTCTAGCCTGATAGCATTTTCTCATCCTAGATTTAACGAACTGGTTAGTGGCAGGTGGAAGGGGAATTATATTTGGCCAGCTTCTCCATAAGATGACCAGTTTCATCTACTCTCCAAGCAAGGGGTATATCTACATCCTAGGTCCTGACACTCCTCTTCACTTGAAGGAGGGGGGTGGAACAACCCAAGACTCTGCACTGTACCACCTCTGGCTCAATTCTGCAAATCTCTCTTCATGACTACAGCTACAGCTCAGTAGGGACACTTCTGCAGAGTGAAAACAGGTCGGCTTCCAGAGTGGTGCTGGGCATCCTTGGGCAAGTCATGCCAGCACCTGGAGAGCCATAGGATGCTGCAGCAGCTACACTTTCCCGAGGGCAGGCAAGGTGATGTGCTTTGTGCTTCAGTGTTACATTAAACAACCATTTCCAATGATCCAAACATCCTTGTTTTTCATTTAAGGAAGCTAGGGTTAACTTTTTCAAATCAATTATCCAATGGCCAAGTCCTCATCAATGCACTGATTACGTTGTGATTAACAAAGGGAAAGGAGAGTCAAGGATTGAGCTGACCACTTCCATAGTTACAGAATACTTGGAAAGTAAAAATTTGTGTTGTTCTGGTTGACAAATAACAGTGACAACTAGACCTGTCCATTTAATGTAGATTTTCATTAGTTCTCCCATTTTTGGCTGGAGAAATGTCATCCCCCCACCCTGCCAAATCCCCCTTGTCAGTGGGAAAGGAGGGACAAGGTCTACCTACCCACACACTGTGGAGGTGTATTTGTCCATTTTCCAGAAGCCAGACATTTGGTCTTGCTCGGTCCGTCCAGCTCATACCCTGGAGCACAGTGGAACGTGCACTCTGAGTTGAGAGAGAAGCTGCCCAGGGGGTGGTGGCAGTTCATGGATACATGTTGAGAGAGGCCAAATGCACCACATTCTTGAACTGTGGGAGACAAAATGTTGAAATGTTCTGCTGTAGACTGAAAGTGTCAAATTTGCTACAGGCAGTAACTGTGAAACCCCTTCACCCTTTCCTTCTAGGCTTTTCATCCAGCTGCCATTTCTGCTTGGTTCCTTTGCATCGTCTGCATGTTGGAAAGTGGTCATTCTTTGGCTGTTTTTAATTTCAGTTATCTAAAATTAGCCTGACAAGGTTCTCTTAGTCTTGCCATTTTTACAATTCTCCTTTTTTTCTCTGAAATTTTATGAGTAAATTTTTGAACAGGATATTAAAGGTTGAAGGCAGACCTTGCACTAAACTACATCCACATGCCTTTTTGTCTGTTTGTTTTGTTCTAAGACAGTAATATTCACTAAGTCTCTAAATTCCCCTTGCTAGGTTCAGATTTGTAGTATTTCCTGCGGCAGCCTCCAGGAGTGCTGAGATTACAGCACTCTCACTTTCTGCCTTGAGCGAGTTCTCTACAAGAGTAATTTCACCCAGACTATCTAGTGATGAGTGAATGGAGCAGACTAACAGACAAAAGAGGGGGCATGAGACTGGTCTGAAGAGTCCCCAACATGACTGACTTCCTGGCATCACCTGTGGCATTAGCTTAGTGGCCCAAACATTACCAATGGAGCAGCAGCCTCACCGTATTCACACTCTGGCCCGTAGAAGCCTGGGTAACAGGAGCAGGTGTAGTTCCCGATGGTCTCAATGCACTCCCCTTGTTGGCTGCAGGATGTGGGCTGGCAGGAGGCTGAAGGAGTACAGTTGGGTCAGAACCTTGAGCATTACTGAGGTGGGCACACAATCAGCCCCTCTCAGGCAGATAGAGCTGGCCAGACAACAGACAGCAGCAGTGCCATCTCCAGAGCTGACTTTGTCCTCTGCAAATGGCACTGCAGGAGTTTCCTGGAGGAGTGCTGGCTCCTCTCTCTTGGGGCATGTAGCATTTCTTAAGGGATCATTGCTGTGTATGGACACAAAAGGAGGAACCGAGGAGCCCCAGCCACAGAAGGCTGTTGGACAGAGAAGCTTTTCTGTGTGGTATGTTTGGATTGCAGTTCTCTAACCAAAAGGGTTTCTGCCCCATGCTAAATGTAGCATAAAGATAAGAAACCAGATATGGAAGGAGGGACCATCCTCTTAGGGGCTGAATCCTGGCCCTGCTGCCTACTCCTGAGTAATCTTCAGCGAGTTACTTCTCTGAACCCAGCTTACCTAGTATCAGGGCATAATCCCTTGCACTTTTCATTTGCTTGCTCAAGTCTATATACCAACTATCATACAATGAGAGAACAGAGAAGCAAAATGTGATGCTTAGACCTCACCATGGCCAAGGACAAACAATCTGAGGGGATGTCATAGGCCTACATGTGTCAGTTTACTGAACATGCTGTGTTTAGATGGTGTGGTCCCTGGCTGACCTGCCAGCCCCTGCTGGCTGGCTAAGGCACTGAGAAGCAGGAAAGAGAAGGACCAGATTTCCTTCCTGTAAGAGGCTGGTTGAGGGTGCACACATTTGGTAGAGGTTTAGCATTAGAACTGATACTGTGAATGCACTGAAAATGTTCTTACTGTTTTTTTTTATTTATGAGGTCAGAGAGGGTATTGGACTGTTTTCAGGTGGTCATTTCCTCTGCAGTAAGCCCTAACACGTGTTGGGACTTTTCTCGGGAAACATAGCCTAAGAAAGATCAGCACTCACCTTAGAATGAGCTCATATCCTATAAAAGGCTATTGTTTAAATAATTAATATATGAACACATTATTTACAAAATAATACATGATTACTTGACAAGGAATTCATGAGAGTGTTTCCCTTACCTAAAAGGATTGGGTGAGAAGAGAAAAAATGAGGAAGGATACCCTCTGCCTGGGTTTGTTTAATGCTGCGTACTATTGAGCACCTCTGAGGTAGCAAAAATCTGAAGAATTGAGAACATACACAGCAGAATATGGCATCTGAAGGTCATTTATCAAAGATGCTTCTGAGTGTTCTCTTCAAAAATCCCTGCTCTGGAAAGTCCAGAGGGCTCCTAGCCACAGCGTCATGTAATACAAAGGGTAGGACACCTCCCTCTCTCCCGGAAAAAATCAGGAAGATGCTGTCAAAGGCTTGTGACTGCAGGAAGGCTGTGCTTTCATGCACGTCTGCAACCTTAGGCCCAGAAGAGAAGGGGATCAAACAGACTCCTGAGATCGCACCTTCGGCGTTTCCCTTTCCTGGATTCCTCCCTTCAACCAAAATTCAGGGAACCTGAAACTGTTTTGCTGTGGAGAATGATCTGTAAAGCCTTTGCGATTCTTTGTCACATTCTCAAATTGTCTCATGAAAATGTTGAGCAAAGAGGGTGGGGGCATGGAGCTAAAAACACTAATTTTGGAGTCCACATGGGTCTGAATCTGGCTTTACCAAGAACTAAATTCAGGACCAGGGGATGAGAATCTAATAGCTCTGAGCACTTTTGGCTTCAGCAAGACAAGAGTAATCAAAGGGCCGGTGCAATGAGCTTGACATGAGGACAAAATACAGATAGTGCTAAGTGAACAAAGACACAACAAGATTAACCAATAGCACAAAGTTGCTAGCGCACCAGCACATTTTGGCAGTCAGGAGGTCATACAGCAGTATCTCTTAGGGACAGTACCAAATTCCCTCCCAATTCACGATGTGTGCTTCTACAAACAGCACAGTGAATATTTAAACCTCAAATAAAAACTTACTACAGTAAAAGACATATTACTATTACCACTCCCCCAAATTCTCACTTTTTAAAATGCAGCCCAGTCTTCTGGCCACTTTTTGAAGTAAGTCTGGAAATCTTTTGACCTTGTCTTTAATTTTAGTTGGCTGCTGTGGCTGCCTTAATGTCCTGAATGATTCAAAACATTCACCTCTTATGGTCATTTTAGCTTTGGGGAGGAGCCAGCGATCCCAGAGTGCCAGATCTGGTGACTAAGCTGGATGGGGATTCCCCCGATGCGTTGCTGAGCCTGCCTGGCTATTAATTGGCCTCAGCAGCTGAATTCACAATGTGTTTTCGCCACACCTGCTAAAGACTCTGAGGAAAGAGGACTTCCAGAGCAAGTTCAGAAAATGTCAAGAATGATGGGCTAAATGTGCTTGAATAGAGGGAGAATGTTTTGAGGGAGATTAATGGCAATGTGTCATGTAGCATAATTTTTTTAAATGTAAACATTCACTTTATATTTTGATTACCTCTGTATAGCCTCCCTTATTACGACATACTGGTGAGGAAAACTCATTGGCATGTCCAACCTGTGGGCCATGGGGCACTGAACCATTTAAAAAAATGTTACATTAAAATATTTTGAAGGGAAGTTTTGTGACTTAAATACATTAACTCTATGGTATATTTCATATGCTGTCCTCTTCACTCAGTGAGGCCCAGCAGCCAGTGGCTGGACACCCAGAGTCTAGACCTAAAACTTTGGCAGTGAGTTTCCAGGCCTAACCTGGTTTCTGCCCTCATCCATCACCTTAAGAAGCTAGAACATCCTGAGTGGAGAAGACATGGCAATTCCCTCTAGCTTAAGCAGCCAGCCTTCTCTGGCCCTGCGGTTCGACTCTGCAAGGTGCTCACACACTGCTTAACAGGTCACTCCAGGGGTTTGTATCCCTGCCTCGGTGACTCCATGTCTGCAGCTGAGCAGGCCTGGCATTTTACCCCATCTGACTCCACCAAGATGGCCTCACCTGTGTAGCACAAGGCCCGCTTCCGTTTGGTGCAGGGCTCGTCGTTCCACTTGCCAAGGGCGTCCGGCCTCTTGATGTATATCTCCACGCAGTCTTGGTTGTTCCCCTTGTTGTTGGGCTCATTGTCAGCCCAGTTCTCTGCCTCCTCCGTGAGGGACTTCTTGGTTCCCACCCAGGTCCATGTATTGTTGATCTTTCGGATCCCAATCCAGTAGTACGAGCTGTAGTAGGGTATGACGTCATTGAGGTAGGCAATTTCATGTTTATTCTGGATGGCCACTAAGTCTGTGAAGTGCTTCTGACAGAATATCCGGGAATAATTCCACGTGTATGCTTTCGTGGTGTAGTTATAGGTCCATGCTGCCGCTTGCTTCTGATTAGTGAAGTCTAGAATAGAGAAGGATAAATAGCGCTTTAGTATCCCTGCCCATAAGAAGCCTGTGAGTCTAAGCACACTTCCATGGAGCGATTTCTGATCAGACGATGAATGCCAAGAACATGACTATCTTATGTCAAATGTGATTATCTTAAGGCAGAAGATAGTCTCCACAGTTCATCTAGAAGTATATGCAGAGTCAGAAAAAGAACATGTCCTCTTCTGGAGATTCCTGATGTTAAAGATTTGGAATCTTAAAATACTAGAGTTGGAAGGTCTGACGAATGGATAAGGAAAATGTGGTAGTATATGCAATGGAACACTGTTCAGCCATAAAAAGGATAAATTTAAGTCATACATAGGAAAATGAATGCACCTTGGGACCATACTACTACCTAAATAAATCAGGCACTGAAGGCTAAATATCACATGACTTCTTTCATATGAGATATCCAAGATGTAGTTAAAAGAAGAAAATAAAAAGAGAGATGGTAAATAGTAGGGAAGAAAACTGTGTAGAAATGAGGAGGGGATATGGGGAAAGACCGGGGGGGGGGCAAAGTGGGAGTAACAATAATCTCAGCGCCATATGGGTATGTCCCAGCTCCCCAAACTGAATGTGCCTCAGATGTGTACTATGTCTTTAAATAATGCTACAGTTGGAAGGTTGAACTTAGAGCTCATTGAATTTTCTCCTTTCCTTTTCTAACATGAAGAGATATATTAAGGAATTTTCCCAAACTTTTAATGCTTCCTCCCCCTGCTCACCTCCACTTGCCCAAGCAAGCTGGCTGTTCCTCCTCCCGGGATCCCACTGTACCATCCCTGCCTCCACTAGCCGCACTGCCATGTGCTGCAGGGCCTGTCTCTGTGGGATGGTCCCTAGCTGCTGAACTGGGAATCCCTGAGGGTCTCATTTTAAATCTGGGTCCTTCACACCCAGAAGAGAGGTTGGCACTTAGTAGACACCACAGAGAGGTTGGCCTGAGTGATCCAGCAGGTATGGCAGAGGCAGAGGTAGAAGAAGATGAGCTTCCCAGGCTCATTCCACTTCTCCTGGCTGCTTCTGCTTGACGCCACTTCATCCAGGTCTGCTTGCTCACTTGTTAAAATGGGCCCTTCTTTGTGAGTGTTTGTGACACCAGTGAAGTAGACAAAGTGCCCTTCCATATAAAGGCACTAGAGTGCTGTTATTTCAGCTTGTGGGGCCTCACCAGGGCGGGGGAGGCCAGTTCTCAAGTGAAGAGGTTCACAAGGCTGGCAAGCAGGTCTGGAAATGCCCTCTTCCTGTTTATAAAGCCTTGTTTCTACTCAGCCCTCTCCCCTGTGGCTTGTGTGGGAATCACTCGTATTTCTACCTTCCTCACTGAGAACACTGGTGTTGTTCTACCTTAGGATTTCATTCTGAGGTGGCCAGGGCACGTTAGGATTTCGAAAGATGAATACAAAGATGAATGTACAAATATTATATATTACATCTTTGATGTCAAAGAAATTATTTTAAAGAAATTCAATCATCATTGTGTGTCCCTACAAGTTTTGTAGGCCTGTGCCTACTGTGGTCCTTCATGTATCAGTTCGCTTCTGAAGCTTTTCCCAGGAGCACAATGGTGTTGACTGTGTTTTTCCAAGAATCTGGGCTTGGAAACTTTTCCCATTTACAATTGTCTGTAATCCTCAACTTCTCCCATTCACTTTGGGCTCTGCCCAAATTCTTCAGGATCTAGTGAAAAGTTGGCCTCAAGCTTACCAGAAATGAAGACACCAAACCAGAGGAGATGGGCAGCTCTGAGGACTGCACCCTGGAATCTCAGGTTCCAAATGGTTTTTAGGCAGTTGGCCTGAAACAAGAAAAGCAAACTTCCTCTTAGGACAGTATCGGTACACAATCAAGGTGGCCAAAGTATTCACTTAGGAATCATTAATTGAGATAATATTGTCTGTTTCCACTGGAAGGATACAGTAAGCCCTCAGCTCTCTCCTGGTTTCTCTCTATTCTGCCCCCCAAATCAATGCACAGATGGACAATGGTGACAAGCCTGAGCACAAAGCTTGTTTCTTCCTTCATATAAGTATTTATTGAGTAAACACTTTGTGCTGTCATTATTTTTTAAGGTACATTCTTAATACCCATGTAAGAAAACCAGTAAGTGCATGAATATGGCTATCATTATTATCCAACACACTTCCTTTCAGAACTGCTGGGTTATGACCAACAGCAATAAGAAGTCACAGTTTCCCTCCCAGAGTCTGTGAATACTGATGCTGAGAAGTAGGCGTGGCTTGTGTACTTACAAGCTAGAACCCTAATTAGCTGACTTGTGATCAAACACTCAGCATATCATAGTATTATGATTTATGGTGCTTGCTGTTTCTTTGCTTGATATTCTCTTAGTGGGCCATTGGAACCCACTGAGTTCTTCCAGGGTGGGTTGCAGTGCCAGCAGTTATTCCTACAACGTTCTACTCAGTACCCCAAAGAACCCTCACAGGTGCACAGCAGAAATCTTCAAACCAGGATGATCCTGACTTCCCCTTGTATACACAAGCAAGGAGAGTGAGGATTAAGTCTATATTTAGAGCTCAACTTTTACATTTTCCTGAAAGCTATCTGCCTAAAAATGGGGCAGTATACAAGGAGGTAAGGGGTGCAGCCCTTGATTTCCTATCACCATGCCTAAATCTACTCACTGCTTCCTGTTTTAACGTGCTTGTTTAAAATCTTTTAAAATAAGATTTGGTTTAACTAACACAATCCAAGCCAAGTTACTGTTTCCCATTTTACTTTTCTTGCTTATTTAATCTTTTAAATAATATTTTGTTTGAATAAAAGTTCCTCAAATAGTCTCCATCACACCAAAGAAAACTGAGATCAGAGATAGAGATAGAGAGGAAGGGCAGAGGTGGGGAGGAAGGGAGGGAGAGAGAAAAAGAGAGAGAGAGAGGGAGAGACAAGAGAGAGTTAAAGACACAGCATGTAAAAAAGGAAAGTGTACATCAGTGTGTGCTCCCTGCTTTAATATGATCATGCTTCTCTCTCTCTCTCTTTTTAATTTCACCAAATACCAAGATTTACCAGTCACAAATTATTTCAGGGCTCTAGAAGCTGTAAGGATTCCCTAACATTTCTCCAGGACTCTGCAGCAGGCCTTTGGGTTGCCATGCTCAAACTAGGGTGGCCACTACTCCACGGCAGTGAGACTCAGAGAGTCTAAAGGTTTTGCCCCTGCTGTGTCTATGTACATCATGTTCATTGAGTGATTCTTATTCTCACAAGGTATATGAACTTTGAAAATAATAAGTAGTCTTCAAGAAATGTGCACATACAGCTTTTAGGGAATTTTTGAAGGCTCTGAATTCACTAATTCTGTCCATGTTAATGGATCTGGGCTCATATCTGTGTGAATCATAAGGCAGCCCTGTGACTCCATGGCAGCTGATGGGCCTTGTGCAGGTGGATGGACAATGACAGGGTCTAGAAACTTTCCTTAAGGAGTAATTTTCCACCGAAACTCCCTAGGGTGGCTGAGCTTATCAGATCTGCCTCTGTCCTTTAGTACAGCCTTCCAGTTAGAGGGGCTAGGAGGCTCTGGAGAGGGGCTAGGAGGCCCTGGAGTTGGGACTCTGTTAAGTGAGTGATGTGTTACAGCGGGAGGAAATGCCTCTCTGGGAGAAGCAGCCTGGTGCTCTGCTAATCTTAATGCTCTCTGGCAGCCTGGCTCAAAGCGGAAGTTGCTGGAAAGGAGTCTGACACAGGGTCTGTAGAATAACATCCTGTGCCTGTGTAAACCTTCACTGAGGCCATGGGTACATTTGCTGTTACTTTCTGAAAGAGCTCAAAGGGACTGCAGGACAAAGAAAAGGCAGAGAAAGCAGCTTTTAGGTCGAAGTTTGCCCTCAACCTCCCTTTTCAGAGGAACAGGTACTGAGTCCAGCAAGAGTCTCCTAGTTTCCTGACAGCTACAGAGTCCTTTTCTGTCCATGCTGTAGAGCACAACTGGGCACTCTCAGAGTCAAACAGTGCCATTCCTTGACCCGTTAGCCATCTGTTCTGGTCCCATCGCCCTCTTGCCCATTGCCTAACTGTCCTTCCAAACTGCTCCTTGAGCTTTACCATGAAGGTCCTAATTATCAAACCCTGTGAAGTTTTTGCACTCCAGTCTTCCCTGACCTTTCTGCAATGATGCTTGCTTTTGACTACTTCCTTTGACTTGAAACCTGTTCAAGGCTCTTCTCTAGTGTCCTAGCAATTGCTCTGTCTTTCTCTGATTCTTCCTCAATCTTCTGCCTTCTTTTGCAGAGGTAAGGCTTTCCCTGGCTTCTGGACTTCATGACCCTATTCGATTCTCGTTTTTCTCTTTTTCCTGAGCATCCCTGTGGTCCTTTCTTTGCCAGAGGCCCTCAGTCAGCATCTCTATATCTGATATCTCTCCTGAGTGTGAGGTCCACAACCCAAATGCACAATAGACATCAGCTGTCAGAGGCTCTTTAAGGCAAGGAATGTGAAGTAGACCTGAACTGCCAGCTGTGGTAGAGCAGATGCTTGATGCTTAATGCTCAGTTAGCATTTTATGGGTGAATGGATGAGTGGGTCAATGATAAATGATGAATGAATGAATGAATGAATGAATGAATGAATAATGGCAAAGAAGATAGAAACATGCTAAACAGGGAATATTAGAAAACTAAGTGATAATTATAAGTACCTAAAATTATACTAGAGATGACATCATAGTGAAAGTGAATTGGGATTAGAATACAATAAAAGCACCAATATTCTTGTCATTTTCTTTCCCCATGTTGCAAAGGAGCAGATATGTAGGAAGAAGTCTGCAGGCCAGATGTGTGACATGAGGACAACAGGTAATGAAGTTGAATGTCATGAGAATCACCCTAAATGAGTAGATTTAATGATTCTTTGCATGTTGTCATGGGTGTGGTTGTAGAGATTGAACTCAGGGCCTTGCAATGCAAGGCAAGTGCTCTATCACTTATCCATATTCACATCCCTTTTCAAAAATTTTTTTTATTTTTTTATTTTTTATTTTTTTTTTTGGTGGAACCTGGGATTGAACTCAGGCCCTTGCACTTGCCAGGCAAGCGCATATTCTACTGAGCTATCTCCCTGGCCTCCAAAATTTGTATTTTTGACAGGATCTTTTTCAATTGCTCAGCCTACCCTTGAAATTGTGATCCACTTTACCCAAAATTGGTAAGATTACAGGCATGTGTCACCATGTCCAGCCTGGATTTTAGCTACTCTTGCCACAAAAGCCAAAATTAAGTAATTATTTTACTATCTATATGTCTTACATGTATGTAGTATTTTTTCCCATTAGTTATTTCAATAAATGTTGATTGCTTGAGTATCTAAAATATATCAAGCGCTTTTCTGGGGACCAGAATTAAAATGCTGAAAGCATATACAATTCCTGTCCTTCATACATTCTATTAAGAGAAAGACAAGGAAACACACAGCACCAAACATCCAACAATACTATGCAAGTAAATATGAAAAACACAGGATAGTAACAGGTGTGAAAGAGAGAACTATAATGGGGAGGGGGTGATAGTGGCTTATGTCAGACAGGAAGTCAAGACACATTACCTAAGGAGATGGTGTTTAAGCCAATTCAACAGCAGGATGGCCAGAAAAGAACTACCTGGTGAGAAACAGGAGGAAGCGCATGAAGGGCAAATGAAAAGCTAGTTCAAAGATTTTAATGTGGGAGTAAAGTGTGACATGTTCAAAGACCATGAAGACATTAGTGGGGCTGGAATGAAATGACAAAGGGCAAAAGATGACAGGAGTTAGTCTACCAAGCATTCTAGATATTGCGAGCCAAAATAGGGGTGAGATTTTATTCCAAGTGCCATCATAAACCAGGGAGGATTTGGGGGGAGATAGTGATATAGTCTGAATTGTACTGAAAATTAGGGCATCCTAGAAGTTCACTGGCAAGGTATTTAACCCAAAGGTATCATTTGGGCCTCAAATACCAGGCAGCAAGAGGGATCCAAGTGCAGGGTTCTGAATAGAGAAATATCATGACCAGATCTATCTGAGAATAGGGGATTTTAATGAATTAGAAGCAGGAAATTTGAGCTTCATAAACAGGACCCTATTGCAATGGTCATGGAATTTAAAGAAGGCCTGGCCTGCACTGGGGTTAGAAAGAATGAAGAGGCGAGGAGGAATGAGAGTTTTGGGGGATATAGAGTGTACATCTCTTACCAGCAAAAGCCCAGGTGTTACAAGACATTACACTTATTCCAATATTAATTGCCTTACATTTCTGAGTGGTGGCGTGGTGCAGCTATCAACAGTCCCATTTTCAAGGTAGAAAAAGACACAGGGAGAAAAGAGGTTGTTTTGGGGCCAAATAGCAAATTACATTTAAAGATGGGCCCATGACACCAATATTTAGAATCAAAGCCCATATGCAAATTAGACTACCAGTCATCATTCTTTAGGGTAAAAGTGCTAGCACTGAAAACAAAGTAATAGCCAGCCAAATAGCTCAGCAGATTAAAGTTCCTGCAAGCAGACACAGGGGTTAGGGGTTTGATCCCCAGGCCTGCCATTCCAGCCCCGTCCCTGGGGTGTGCTGAGATGGCAATTGAGACTGGGCTTGGTGGCATGTGCCTGTAATCCCAGCGCTTGGGAGGTTGTAACAGGTAGATCACTATGAGTCTGATCTAGTAGTGAGACCCTGAACACCCTATAGACAAAGAATACCAAAAAAAAAAAAAAAAAAATTGAAGAAACAAAACAAAGTAACATATTTAAATCATTTTTTGAAAGTCTGTTGGACCATGTTGAATTATATCCCTACAAATACAAAGAATTTATTCTAAAACTGACTTTGTTGAATTTATGTTTTGTTTTTATATTAGAAAGATTAGAAACCCAGAGGCAAAATAATGAATGTAATTGACGAAACTAACATATCCTACCCTCCATGGTTAGTTCTATAGTCTTTTTAGTACTACTTGTTCTGAAACAAGTCTTTTTGACTTTTGGGAATTTGATTAATAAGCTTCCAAGGGTAGAACTCTGAAGATACACATTCTAAGAACTTCTGGGAAGCTCACAAGTATATTAGCCAATCAGGTACATTTTGAAAAACAGGTCATGAGATGAAAACTAAAAGAACAGATAAGATAGGCATGGGCTGTAAGTGGAAAGGAATCCAGACCTACTCCTTAGTCCCCTACAGCCTTCATTAAGATCAGCATCATTTATCTGTAAACTAATCAGAAACTTCTCTGAGACCTGATTGAAAAGATCTCACCAGCTAGACCTTAACTTCATGTGCTCAGGTCCTAGAAGTTAACTGAAGTCACTGTCTGAACCTAAGTAGAGCTTAACTGGCAGATTGAACCCAAAACCTAGGAGCTGAATGTATGTGGGCATAGGTGGGTGGAGAGGGCATGCCTATGAAATACTGAAAGTATTCCCAGGGCTGGTGTCTTTGGCACTTCAGTGCAGAGTTCCAGCCTAGTCATGGCATGCCAGTAGAGGAGCTGCTGAGCATAAAGCGCTGGAGGTGGTACAGTAGGATTCCCCTAGGAGCCACATGGAGGTTGGTGAACTCCTATGGTTGTCTATACAGGTGAGTGTTTATCCATGTTTGTTTTTTCATTTAGGAAAAGGAATTATATCTTTTGTCAGAACCCTAAAGAGCTCTATGATCCAGAACATTTGTATCTTTGGAAAAGATATCAAATAGAATAGAAGGAAGAAAGGAATTAACTGCTCATTCATTTCAGCTGACTGATTCAGGATGACGTGCAAAAAGATAGGACACAGTGACCCACATTTTTTGGCCATAGTGACTCAAGTTTAGGGCAGGCTCAAACTCTTTCATTTTATCTTCTTCATCCTCTTATGCCTGTTTTCCCCAACAAAGAAAACTCTTGCTGTAGTTATTTGAAAGGGTGCTGCAGTAGAGCAGAAATAAAAGATGACTCAGCTATAAGCTCTCCTTTCCTTTGGAGTTCTTAAGAAAGGTGTCCAACACAGAGACCTGTCTGGTACCTTCCTATCCACAGACAGCAGGAATTTGGATTCTGGGTGTCTTAGTTACTTTCCTTGTTGCTGGCACAAAATATCCAACACCTGTTGGGTTAAATGAGAGGTTTCTTTTGTCTCACAGTTTGTGGAGGTTCAGTCTACAGTTGCTTGGCTCAAAGGCAGGGTACCATGCAGAGGAGAATTGCTCCTGGCATAGCAGGTAAGAAGCAGAAAGATCACGCAGGAGCCAAGAAAGGAGAGAGACTCTTCCCGGCCATGCCGAGTGTAACACTCCTCTTCTGATTAGACCCCACCTCCCAGGAGTGGGTCAGCTATGTAAGCCCCCAGAGTTCAATCACCTTCAAAAAACTCCATGAGGCTCTTTGGAGGGGAGGTTGTATAAAACAACCAGGGTATAAACCACAACACTGACTATGTATGATCCTCCTATCAGTTGGGGGCAAAATTAGAGATTGAGATAGTCTAACAGTATATATTTCATCTGCAACAATTTTACTGACTTCAAAATGCCTAGTTACCTTTGGGTCTTCTCTGGATCTCAAGCCTCATTATTCACCAAGAATTTTCTTTTCCTGAACATTAATAGCTGACACTTATTAATCACGGTGCCAGGATCAGATCTACCTCCTTTTCAGTACAATCTTATTTATTCTTACAGTGAAGATCTAAAGTAGAGTACTATTACTATATCTAATTTGCAGAAGAAGAAATTAAGTCACTAAGTGAATAGATAAGAAAGAAATAGAAACCATGTAGACAGTTTAGATCAGTCCCAGAAGATTCCTGGAGCTTGGAAAAAGAAATAGGAGGGCTAGAAATCAGAAACCGTTGCATTGTTGCCTGGTCCTAGTGCACTTGGTCTGCGTGCCATTTATCTCAGGGAAAAGAGCAGTCTTGGGAAAGGGGATGGCAGGTTTACCAAGATCTATACCTCTAAGAGAATCTCTAGGAGTTCTAGTAGTAAGACAAGAGCCATGGACACCACGGACCACAGATCCAGACCTTGAGACCATCAGCTCTACCAGTGCAGCCTTCAGTAAAACACCTAACCTCTGCAAACCACAATGACTTTGTTTGTAAAATGGAAATAGCCTTGACTCATAAAAATGTTGGGAGGGTCAGTGGAGATAGCAAGTTCAGAAATGCAACATGTTCCCAGCTGCTGAGGAAGCTGAAGCAGGTGAATCATGAGTTCAAGACGAGTCTGGGCAACAAAGTGAGAACCCATCTCAGAAAGAAAAAGAGAAATACTTACAAATTCCAAAATACAATTCAACAGAAAACACCATGGCTATTACTATTTCTCACTTTCTTAGTCTGTATCTGCCCGATCCAACCCCAAATCACAACTCATCTACTTCTCACACAAAAGGAAAAATGAACTTACCATCTCTTTTGTGGTCTGCTGGCTTTCTGCCTTCTGCTCAACCCAAACTTCTTATAGTCTCGCTGGCTCCACGCGGTGTCAGGCTGCTTACAAAACTACTTCCTATTCGCTTTCCAGAAATTCACCGCCTTTCCCAGCCTTTCCCTTTAAGTGACAAAGTTGATAATTCAGGACCAATGTTGACAATTTAAAAAGGGCAGTTGTCAAGGATGCAGGGGTCACCCCTTTCCACGGAAGATGGTCTGGAGACAGGGACAGATGGGAATCAACTCTGGATATCCCTGGCTGAGCCAGGCAGGGCGGGACCAACACCCGCAGGGGTCAGGTTTCCTTTGATTAAGATAAGAGTCCCAATTTAAGCTCACACATTGGGAAGACTGGCTTTGTGTTAATCAAAAAGTCCAAGTGTAAATTCCAGTTATTGTGAAATGTCAGTGAATGTTTATATTTCCATCAGGCTTCTAAAGGAATAGAGTTAAAAATAGAAACAAAAATGAATTGGGTAAAAAAGGGGAAAATCCAGTCAAGGAATTTTGGCATTTCCAGAAGATGGTTGAAAACAATTTTGGAGTGACATGTAAAAGAGATACAGACCCTTTGACAGGAACTCTGGAAATTTTCAGGGGCAAAAATGTAAAAATGGAATGGTTAGTATTTCTTCTCACCGAGTACATGGGACTAAAAGGTTGTTGCCATACTGATTAAGAACTGGGATGTGGTATTAAACCTGTCGACATCACTGGGTATATGTTAGGTAAACTATATCTTTCACTTGTGAATCAAAATGATAAAGAGAGCTTACCTCACAAGGTAGCTGTAGGAATAAAAGTGTTCATACATGAAAGGGCTTAGAATAATATCAGGCACACAGGTGACCCTTGGATATCACCCCTATTATTTTTCTCAAACAGCAGAATCCAGTGTCAAGTATATTAAGTATCAAGTCAGAAAACCGTAACTCCAGTTTATCCTCTGGGATTTGGTGCTGTGCAGTAGTACTTGTTGTTCTTCATTCCATGATTGCTATAGCTTGTAAATAAGTATTTCATGGATAGATTTTTTTTTTTTAGACAAAATCTCCTCTTGTAACTCAGGCTAGCTTTGAATTCAGCAGCAACCCTGCCTTAGCCTCTGGAATGCTGAGATTACAGCACCACCATACCCAGCATGGGTGGATTTTTAAATGGAATAAGATGGAAAGATCTGGAAGAAATTCCAAGGGTAATGATTAATTAAGGAGCATGGAGCAGCATTTGTATTTTAGGTTTTGACACCAAGAAAAAGGGATGAAGCATAGAGTAGAAATAGAAAGGGCAGTGCAGGAGGTGGTCATGAGCGATGGATGTGGACAAATTAGGGCAGCTGCAAAACAGGAAGGGATGGGCAGCATGCGAGGCAGCGTGATGTGGGCTCAGAGTCCCGAGCCCAGAGCCAGACTGCCTGGCTCCACCACCCACCAGCTCTTGAGCTGTTACATTACTAACCTCTGTGTCTCAGTCTCCTGGGTTGCATGAGTGTGTAGGAATGGCAATCACCAAACACATGGAAGTGTGAGGCCAATAAAATAAATCTAAGTCTTTGGAACATGTCCCCAATCCATTGTAATTGCAATAGTAGCTAGTATATATATATAACTTGTCTCCATGTCCTTCTCTTCTCAGTTTTACTCTCTAACCCCTGTTTGGGCATTTTTGTTTTTTTATATTCTAAGGAAATTAAAGAGTGCTAGGTAGAATGATAGATTCTTAACAATATGTGCTTTTAAATTAAAAAACAGTGAGTTTTAGTGAACATGAAGCAGAGAAAGATTCCTAGGAGTAAATGTCAGCAAGATGGCACAGTACAAGACTACAGTCTTCAGTTTTCCCAGAGAAAAACAAAAAGATAACTATCCACAAACCATAATCCAGGAAAGCTCACAAGTGTGCCTTAAAATATTCAACACCGCAATGAGCCCAAAACAGAGACTGTCCACACAAAAAGGGCCATTAGTGAGATCAACACGCAACAATTCCTGGGAACAGCCTAGAACAAGTATGAGTCTCTGTGGCCTCTGCCCAGAAGGCGTGGAGTAGTTGAACGGATAAAAGAAAAGTCCAAACTATATGCTGCTCGTAAGAGATTTCCATCAACTTTCATGATGCGTGACACTGAGAGCAAAGGCGTGCAGAGACGTTCCATGCAAGTGGAAACAGAAGTGGAGCAGAGGTAGCTGTCATTATAGCATATGACGAAGACTTTAAATCACAACTTCTAAGAATAAAGAAACAAAGATGATTTTTTTACAGTAAAACTTTGAGTTGTAAGAAAGTTGTTCTCCAAGACTTCCATAAGGTGAACAAACATTTCTAGTAAATTTTCGCTTGCTAAAATGAGCATTATCTAGGAATATGAGTAGACTATGATGTTCAGTATCCCATGATCACTACTGAGTCAATGGTGTCTGTCTGTCTGTCTGTCTGTCTGTCTGTCTGTCTGTCGTCTGTCTGTCTGTCTGCCTGCCTGCCTGTCTTTCTGTTTCAGGGACTGTAGGTGATTGTGTCCCAACAGCAAAAGGTTATAGAGATCTCCTCTGCAGAGGAGGAAGAAAAACGCAGAAAAATTCCTCACTTCAAATGAGATAAAATATGCATAAAATGTGGGAAACAGTCAAAATTTTATAGAAAAGCACCACCTGAATAAGGCTGTAGCAGAGCTAGCAATGAATCTATTGATTTATTCATTGAATCTGTTCAATGATGATGCAAGGTGCCACTTCTGTGAAATCCTCAAAGGGAAGCAAAAGCAAATGTCTTTGTTTTGTTTTGCAGAACCGGGGATGGAACTCTGGCCCTTGCGCTTGCCAGGGAAGCACTTATTCCACTGAGCCATCTCCCCAGCAAAAGCAAATGTCTTTGAATAGTTTTCTTACTAAAGATGGAGGAAAGGAAAAAGACTGCATTGAGCCAACACACAGCAGTGATTCCATCAGTGACAGTGACAGTCACCCTACACATCACCCTCCTCTCTCTTGTCTCCCTCACATCAGCCACAGTTTTCAAAGGAAAGTGCAGGTTAGCTTCTCTATTTTTCTTCATTATTTTATATTGCAGTACAGATATTTCTTGTTTAGAAGACTATTTGTTTAGTGATGGTTTGGATTTACTATTAAGGTGTACTACTTGAAGCTGCTACAGCCAGTTGGGCTTCTGACCTGAATTTGAACTTCTGAGGATGAAGGAATATGAATAGTGGTGAGGGCTTCTGGCAGCTTTTTCTATACTGTAATTTTTGTTGATTATATTGTAGTATAGTACTATAGTTTTATGTTCTGTTATACATTACAGCACTGTAGACAAGAGTTATGCAAATAAAAGTAAAGTCATCCCATTGGCATTTCCTTTGACCATGTTTCTTGTTCTCTTTCTTTCTTTCTTTCTTTCTTTCTTTCTTTCTTTCTTTCTTTCTTTCTTTCTTTCTTTCTTTCTTTCTTTCTTTCTTTCTTTTTGTATTTTATGGAAGAGTCTACAGGGTGCTCAGGGTCTCACTACTAGATTGGACTTGTAGTGATCCGCCTGTTTACAGCCTCCCAAGAGCTGGGATTACAGGCATGCACCACCATTCCCAGTCTCAATTGCTGTCTCAGTGCACCTTGGGAGTGGGGCTGGCACGGCAGACCTGGGGATCAAACTCCTGGCCCCTGTGCCTGTTTGCAGGTGCTTTAATCCACTGAGCTATTTGGCCAGTCCCATGTTTCCTGTTCTGAATGTTGTAATGTATGTACTATATAAAATTCCTCACTTAGCAACAAATTCATTTAATGACCTAGATGTGGGCATATGAATTGGTTGTTAAATGAGGGATGTCTGAGTTGTGATCACTTTTATATAGATATTATTGGATTGTGAAATGAATCCTGAGTTTCCAGATGGGGAAAGTCACTTTAATATACAAAAGCTTACTATTATGGGCTACTGGACTATTTTGGAATATTTTGCTGAATTCACACAAGTATAATATTTAAATGACAAAACTAAACAAAAAAGGGGATACAAATGAACAACAATTTTGTATCTGTGTATTCAACATAGTTAGGATAGACATACAGCTGCATTCTCTTAATTCAATGGATAGAGAGATTTGTTCTAATAGTGTTTGTAAGCAGGATATCATGTCTGCATCTTATACAATGAATAACCAATAAGACAACAGTGTGCAATGTATTAATTATTGAAACTGTTTTACTAATTGGATTTGGAACTGTCCCATTGCTATTTCTTTCTTAATAAAATTATGGAAAAAATAACATACAAGTGTTTTAGGTTATAACCATGTTTCTGGAATGAATTATGCTCCATTTTCTTGTATAGTGATACAATATTGCATAATAAAATTGTCATTTCATTAATGCCCCTAACATCAATACAATTACGTATATAAAACAAATATTAATAGACTGAAAGAGAGAGACAGATTATAGTTTTGTAATAGTTGAAGAGTTCCCAAGATGAATGTAATTATTATTATGTACAGTGGATCCCTGAATTCCCAGGGGCTATCTGAATTGTAAAAAACTGCAAATTTTAGATATGATCAGAGAAATGCTTATAAATATCAATTTCTACAGTTTATCCCCTAAATATGTTGTGTTTCCTGCAGTTATGTAATTTAACTTAATAAAATACTGTTTAATAAAGTCTTAGAAGGTGCAGGGCATTTTGGTAACATCTTAAGGATCTTAAAACTCTAAGAACAAAACCGAGACCACTGAAGATAGTTACACATGACACAGCAACCTGTTGTGATGCAGGGATGCTGATGCATCTGTTGAAGATGGGTTACAGGGCAGCATCCAATCAGCAGCAAGAAGAACTTTCTAGCATTTTTGGATTGGCTACTTGCAAACTGCCACCAAAATAAGCAATTACAGAAGATATCTGCGGTTTCTGTGAAATTGCAAGGGTTTGCACAAACAATTATTACAATAGATTCTAATCTGCAAATGAATTCTGAACTGTGACTTTGCAGGGGTATACTGTGTTGCAAATAGACACCAAAAAAATGACAGTATAGGACTCTGGTACTTCCTCT